GGTCCCCTGTGCAAACAGAGGAGTTGGCCTCGTCCCTGGTGACAAGGGGGAGGTGAGACTGTGGGCACTGATGCCAAAGTGAGGAGTCTGTGGAGGTTATCTTTTGAGTGCTTTTTTTGGCTCAGTAAAATTCAGGAACAAGGTCAACAGTAGAGGGTGAGGATAGGATGAAGGCACTCAAAAACTGTTCTGGTGGCAGTCAGTGTCCACACCCGCCGCAGGGCCTTGGGAGGTGGAGCGGTGACCCACCATCTAAAGTGCCTTTTTCTGCCCCCAGGACTGTCCAACCCGTTCCGGGGCCTCATGAAGCTGGGCACCGTGGAGCGGCGGGGGGCCATGGGCATTTGGAAGGAACTCTTCTGCGAGCTCTCCCCTCTGGAGTTCCGCCTCTACCTGAACACCGAGGAGCGCACCTGCGTGGAGACCTGCTCGCTACTGCGCTGCGAATCTGTGGGGCCGGCGCATAGTGATGGCCGCTTCGAGCTGGTCTTCTCCGGCAGGAAGCTGGCCCTGAGGGCCTCCTCCCAGGATGAAGCCGAGGACTGGCTGGACCGTGTGCGGGAGGCCCTGCAGAAGTGCCGGCCACAACAGGAGGATGAATGGGTGAACATCCAGTACCCCGAGCAGCCTGACGACCCTCCGGATGCCCCTCAGGGTGGCCTCCCCTCCCACCCAGACCTGCTCCCCGAGCCTGACACCCTCCAGGGCACACAGTTCTGCTGGTCCTCTGCCCAAGTTCCCGAGCCAGATGCTATTAAAGAATCCCTTCTGTACCTGTACACGGATGGGACCTGGATGCCCTATATTTTTTCCCTCTCCTTGGAATCTCTGAAATGCTTCCGAGTGAGAAACAACGAGAAGATGTTAAGTGATAGCCATGGAATTGAGACCATCCGAGACATCCTGCCAGACACAAGCCTCGGGGGCCCCTCCTTCTTCAAAATCATCACGGCCAAGGCCGTCCTGAAGCTGCAGGCTGGGAGTGCCGAGGAAGCTGCCCTGTGGAGGGATCTGGTGCGCAAGGTCCTGGCGTCCTACTTGGAGATGGCCGAGGAGGCCGTGACCCTGGGCGGGAGTCTGGACGAAAACTGTCAGGAGGTGCTGAAGTTCGCCACGCGGGAGAACGGCTTCCTACTGCAGTACCTGGTGGCCATCCCCACGGAGAAAGGCCTGGACTCCCAGGGCTGCTTCTGTGCAGGTGCCCACCCGCTGTCCCACCACCCCCAGCATGCCCGCCTCCCTCTGCCTCCGGTGGGGTTCCGGATGTAGGCTCTCTGCCCTTGCCTGGCTCTCCGCACATGCCCCCGCACCACCTCTGCGATGTGGCAGCATGTAGCCCCTGCTTCTCCCCAGCACCCACGGAGGCCAGCACCCCTGCCGAGGGTCGGCACCTGTGGGCGGCAGCTCTGCTAGGTGCTGCGCTCTGCTCAGGGAGTTCCATCCAGGGAGCTCTGTTCTCCACCCCCTCCGTTATCACATTACCATATTGTTGGATCCTTTTGGAGCAGGGGCATGGCACCCTTCCAAAGATTTCTGCATGCTCTTGCAAGTGCACACAGTCTTTTTCAGTTACAAAAATGGGCTCGTACGGCTCAGGGCTGTGCAATAGAACTTTCTCTGATGATGAAAATGTTCTAGATCTCTGCTGTCCAGTATGGTAACTCCAAGCCGCATGTGGCTCCCGAGTACTCCAGATGGAGCTAGTGTGACTGAGGGAACTGAATTTTCAATTTAACTTGACCTGTGGCTCGTGGCCGCTATTTGAGACAGCACAGCTATCTATATTGTTCTACAACTTGGGTTTTTTCTACTTAAGAATGTATTATGGATATTATTCCAAGTCAGTACCCCTGCTCTATCATTACTGTCATCAAATCTGATTCTTCTGCGGGGGGCACTGGGCCAGCTGCTTTTTGTGGATTATTTCATTTATTCCTCACAGTACCTATCCCAAGGTGGAGCCAGATGAGGACCTTGACGGTCCTAGAACCTTGTTCCAGCCAGGTCCCCATAGGCCCTCTCCACTCCCTTGCTTTTCAAGGCCGTGAGATATTCCACGGCTCACATTCCATTGTCAGCTCTTCTCCCCGATCCAGACACCCATTTCCATCCCCGTGGGTGCTCCAGGCAAACTGGGAGAACTTTGCCCTGCTGCAGAGCGTCACAGCAGGAGTCCTGGCTGCAAGGGGCTTGAGGGCCGTCCTGTCGGCTGGAGCCTGTGGGACTAAAGGGGAAAGTCCGCTTCGGGCATCCGGAAGGAAGTGGTCTGCGGTTTTCTTCCTGCAGAAAGCATGTTCAGGTTCCTGCTCACCCCCTCCCTCCGCCAACCGCCAACACTCACGCTTTACACCTCCAGCCTGTGGGTGTTGGGCTCAGGGAGGAGGCCAGCCCCCAAGGCCTGTGAGGGTCCCCCAGTGGGTGAGTGCTGGCCGGGGGAGCTCTCCCAGCACCCGTCACCTGCCAGCCCGTGGGCCGAGACTGAATCTGGGGAGCTTGGGCTTCCTTCGTGCCGCAAGCACAGCTCTGTGGCCAGGCTCATACCCACCGCTGACATTTGGCTGTATTCATAGTGTGCAGGGCACTTTCAAAATCTCCTCTCGTTTAAACTTCGTAATCACCCCGCAGAAGAGCAAGTAACAGCTGAATTTTACAGACACCGCGACGGAACCTTGCAGAAATTCAGTGAAGGTTAGGATGAGGCAGCTAGGAAGCAGAAGAGCCAGTCCTTCTGGTCCCAAGGCCAGAGGGACCTTTTCCCCCTGACCCCGTGGGAGGCAGGCATGTGCTCAGGATTTGAGTCAGGCCTTTGCTTTGCCCTAGGCATACCCCACTCCACTTCTCACTGCCCGCCGCTGCGGACGGACCTCCCGCAGAGGGGGACCCTGTCCCGCTGTCCCGAGGTATCGGGCATCTCTGATTCTGAGCTGGCACCAGGCGATGTCCAGATGCCCCTGCCTCCGGCTGGCTTCCCCACCCGCTCCCTGTGGCCGGCCCCAGGTCCCCAGCTCCTACCCTGCTTACTGAGGCCCAGACTTGGTCGCTTCCATTTCTGGGCCCCAGTGGAGGGGGTAGACCTACAGGAGGTTGGCATGGGTGAGTGAGCAGTGGGAACATTGAACAGGCGGCTAGGTAGAAGAGGATGTGGGCTCTAGCAGCAACCCAACCCCAGTCCAATGCCCCGCTGTGCCACGCCATCATCCTGTGACTGGGCAGGTCTCCTCAGCTCTCTCTGCACCGATTTCTTCAGCTGTAAAATGACAACAACAATTGTTACCAGGGTTCTGTTGTAAACACTCATGAATGGGGTTGTTTCTGAGCGGTGTGCATATGAGTGAGGGTTGTTTTATCTTTCCATCCTTTTTAATCTATCCCTTCCTTAAAGAGCAGATCCTTCTGCTTAGTAACTTCTGCATTGATTGCCGACTCTGGCCTCACCACTGCTCACTCTCCCGCTGTCCTTCTCCCCAGGCTGCTCCCGACAGATTGGCTTCTCGTTTGTAAGACCCAAGCTTTGTGCCTTCTCTGGCCTCTATTACTGTGACATCTGCCACCAAGACGATGCCTCGGTGATTCCGGCCAGGATCATCCACAACTGGGACCTCACCAAGCGCCCGGTAAGCCTTGAGCCCAGCCTGTCGGTGGCTACACAGGGCTGCTGAGTGACAGAGGAATGGTCGCCCTTCTTCGCATGGAGGAGTTTGGCTCTAGGGAAGCCCGGGTCACTGGTTCAGGCCCCATGATGGGGGGGAGCTGACCAAGAAAAAAACATCGTGCTGGTCTATAGTCCCTGGGCAGAGCTCTGTCAGTGCCTGCCTTGGTCCTCAGCTGGAGGTCTGAGGATGGTTCTCTGCAGCTCTCCGTGGCTACAGACTAAATTGTGTAAGGCACCAGCAACCAGATAGGTAGATAGGCAGATAGGTAGGTAGGTAGATAGATGATAGATAGATAGATAGATAGATAGATAGATAGATAGATAGATAGATAGGGATAGGTAGATAAGGAAGGATAATTAGGCTAGATTAGATACATAGATGGATGTAGATAGGTGGATGGATAGATGGGTGGATAGATGGGTGGGTGAGTGGATAGATGGGTGGATGGTGGATGGATGGGTGGGTAGGTGGGTGGGTGGATGGTTGATGGATGGGTAGGTGGGTGGGTAGATGGGTGGGTGAGTGGGTAGATGGGTGGGTGGATGGGTGGGCTGGCCAACCAGCTGTACTTCTCCCTGGAGCTTCAGCCTTCTCTATGGATCTGTTTATATACATTTGTAAAGTTGGGATCATACTGGACTCATACTGCTTTATAACCTGCTTTGTCCACTGAGTATCACTTAGTCTTGGGTACTTTTTTAAGTTCACCAAATGCCTTTGAATTAGATGTATTCCAAGATCTTTCACATTTCCTCTTCTCCACCTGAGCTTACCCACTCATCTAGCTATGTTACCATTAGCCAATTATTTGACTTCAGTTTCCTTGTCTGTAAATAGGGATTAATAAGTGTGTGCCTCAGGACTGTGTAAGGACTAACAGGGACAGGACCTGCCGTGTCTTAGAGCCCTACATTAGTGCCCCTTCTTTCTCCTGAGGCCTGTCACACCTTCGGCCCCTAATTCACTTGGTCAGGGCCTGCCTCGAGGAGCACAAACTTGGCTTTACCCCAGAGGCACAGATTTCTGTTTAAGACAGACACAGAAGCACAAAGAAGAAGTTATTTACTTCTCTCAAGACCTAGGCCTGCTGGCCACGGATGTGTCGTCAGAGCCCAGGGAACGTGACTCTCAGATTCTGTGCCACTCCAGCCTCCACCTTGCTGGGGACCGGAACCCCAAGGACGTTAGCTTCACTTTGGCTTTTTGGTCGGTTACCTTGTCCCCACTCCTGCCCCCAGGGGTAAGTATTTAACTAACTACATGTAGAATATTAAACCTCAGAACCACCACAAATGCAAATAATTCTTTGGCCATAAAACACACTCACTATTTACAACATCCAGACACTTGTTAAGCCATCTTCTTATTCATTGCTGTAATCCTTGTGCCACTTCCTTTTCCCCGACTAGAAAATGACAATACTTTTCTTGGCATATCTGAGATCAGGAAATATCCAGTTCTCGGTCTCTCAGAGATCCCTGGCCTGGGAAAGGCAGGAACACTCGAAATAGAAAGTGGCTGGCTCGTGGGTTAGGGGCCTTACTGTTCAGTGTTACCACTGGCTGCCACTGGGCAGGATGTCAGCCTGGGACTGGGGTTTCTTCCTTGCCTGTCTCCTGCAAGCCCACAGGCCAGGAACAGTCCCGGGGGAACAGGAGGCTCCTGCCTGTCCACGCACTTGGCAGTTTTCAGCGCGCATTCCTGTGTGTGATTTCATCTGAGCCTAGCCCAAGGCCTGAAGCCGAGTCGTGGGAAGGGCTGGGCCGGCGCTAGAGACGAGCCATCTGAACAGAGTCCCCAGGCCTTTGCTGCTTGGCTGCCCACCAGCTGGAGGGCTGGTACTTCGGGGCTCTGGGAAATGGGAAAAGGAATTGTCCATTGTTGGGAGAAGCAAGAGATGGCGGTGGAGCTGTAAGACAGGAGGCCAGAGGCTCCCAAGACCCCACTGTGACCGTCTCCCGAGGGCCCTGTTCCATCCCCCACGCTTCAGGGGACAGCGGGGTTGCACGGGCACTCAGAGTCTGAAGGCAGCTCCCATTCCTGAGGATATGCTATGTTTTTTGTTGTTTTTTTTTAATCTATACTCAAAATAATCCCATAAGGGAATTGCTTTTATTTTCCCCATTTTACAGACAAGGAAACTGAGTCACAAAGAGGTAAAATAAGTGTCACAAGGTCACACTGCTAGGAAGTGGTAGAGCCAAGATTCAAATTCAATTCTGACTTGGAAGCCCGACTCCTAACCACTGCACCATAGCTGATGGTGAAGAACGTCTCAGCTCCTCCATCCTTGTCACAGCGAGGAGGAGACTGAAGCGGGGGGAGGCTTCTCATTAGTTAGTGAGGCAGCCAAGTGTGCAGAGACCACACCTCAATTTAGACCTGGGCTCCGCTTTCTGCAGGTAGATGAAATAAGCCACTTTAGCAACTGTGAGCCTCAGTTTCTTCATCTATAAAATGGGGATGTTGGCCCTTCCCCATTGGCTTGTCATAAGCATTAGGAAAGGATGTGGCTGAGATCCTCAGCCCACTGTCTGGCACATAGTAGGTGCTCAGTAAGCTTTGGCATGAGGGTCAGGCTTTGGCATGAGGGTCAGGGCTGAGGGAGGAACCTGCAGCCCCCTCTGAGGTGAGAGAGACTGGGGTTGATCGCTCACCTCCACACAGGGACTTGGGGGCGCCCTGGTTGGTGCTGCTGGCAAGAGCTGGGGGGCTCGGGAAACCTCGTTAAGCCGTGTCTGATCTGTGGCTTCCTGTGGCTGGAGCCTGACTCAGACAGTCACCTGGTTCCTGAGTCGGCCCCAGGCCAATGCCTGTTTCCGTTAGGCAGGAAAATGGGGGCTGGGAGGACAGGAAAGAGTGGGAAGGGTCTGTGGGCCCAGGGAAGAGGGGCCGCAGCTGATGCCATGGAGGGGGAGTGGGTTTGGGCATTAGGTTACCTGGGTTCAGATCTTGACTTTTATGAGCTATGGACCTAGGCCAGATCACCTCACCCCTGAGCCTCAGTTCCCTCATCTATAAGATGAAGATGGTACCCTTGGATGGGGGTGGCCGGGGAGTGAGTAGGTAAGACCGTGCCTGTCCCGAGGCGCTCACCAAATGGTCATCTCTGTCCCGACCCCACTATCTGGTGGTGCTCCAGATCTGCCGGCAGGCCCTGAAGTTCCTGACACAGATCCAGGCGCAGCCCCTCATTAACCTGCAGCTGGTGAACGCCTCGCTGTACGAGCACGTGGAGCAGATGCACCTCATCCGGAGATGCCGGGAACAGCTGAAGCTTCTGGGGGATTACCTGGGCCTGTGCCGAAGTGGGGCCCTGAAGGAGCTGAGCAAGAGGTGAGCATCCTGGACGCACACCAACACACATCAACACATACAGCCAGCACCCGCACAAGATGCCCTCTTGGGAGAAATGCCAGGGCTGGGCACAAATCACCTTCCCACTGGGTTTGGGAAATGACCACATGCTTTGAGAGTGGCTTTTATTTGTTCGTGTATTCATTCATTCAACAAATATTTACTGAGAACATTCTAAGTGCCCAGGTTTGTGGGCCACAGAAGTGGGCCGGTTAAGAGGACTGGAGGAGGGCAGAGCAGGGAAGACTTCCTGAAGGAACAGACATATAAGGTGAGACCCGAAGAATGAGTAGGAGTTTAGAAAGGAGAAGAGATTCAGGAAAGAGTGATCCAGACAGAAGGAAGAGTGTGCACAGGCCATGAACGAAGTCCCCATACATGGAAAGAACAGAGAGAACTCGGGGGCGGGTCGGGGGGAGTGGGGGAAGGCCGTGTTGCCCTGGCCCCTCCCTACCCAGTCCTCCCTGCATGGCTGCTTTGCTGCTGTCCAGCACAGCATCCCTCCCAAAATCCTCAGAAGAGGGCAAGATTAGGGTGGGACCCTCAGGATGCCCTTGGAGAAGCTTCTCGGCCCCCAGAGCCTGGGGGCCTGCTCAGGGTTGGGAGGCGATGTGCTGCAGCATGGACTTAGGGTCCTTCTGGGCCCGTCGTAAATGCCTCCTCGCCCAGGCCACGGTCTCGGGGTTGGGCTCTCCTCAGGCCCTCAGGAGGGCAGACCCCAGGTGGGGGAGCTGGTGCCTACTGTCCAGTGGGGCTTTGTGGCTGGGTGTCTGGGGACTTGGGGCAGCTCAGCAGCCCCTCCACTTTCGCCCCTGCCCCCGGCCACTTCTCCACACAGGCCTGGCACAGAGACCAGCCCTCTGATGGGCTGTAGCTCTAGGCTTCTGGCTCGTGTTCTCCGGGGGTCGTTCCTGCATGGCTGTGTGGGGCCCAGGCAGTGCCTAGTACAGGCCCCCTAGGACTCTCAGGGAGGGGGCTGCTGCAGGAAGCTCTCTCTGAGGCATAGGGGAGAAGCTGGCTCCTCAGGCTCCCAGAGTGGCCAGCTGGGCCCTGGTCTGCACAGGGCCTGAAAAGACAGAAAGCCCTCTGGTGGCCACCATGAGGGACCCTCTCAGGCTGCTTCCCGGGGAGGCCCTGCCTGTCGTGATCATCAGCTGGGTGCCTGGGTCTTCCCTCATTGCCCTCCTTTCTGAGATTCTAGGACACAGGGCTCCAGAGAGTCTGCCTTCCGGCCCCCCCGACCAGGGTGGTGAGATCTCACTGTCATCACCCTCCAGTCAAGGGGATCTTCTGCACACCTGAGCAGACCAGGTACCTGCAGGGTGGGTCCTGGGTGCTGGCCTCGCTTCCCTGGCCCCACCCTGCTCAGATTGTTTGGTCTTCGGCCTTACTGACCTGTCTGGGCTGACCTGCGGGGCAGCCCTGCCTCATTCTCCCTGACCCTGCGGTTCCCATCCTTGGGTAGCAGCACTGCATACCTACTGTGCAGCCTACCAGCCTTCGAGAGAGCAAGGCTAGGCCAGTGGAGGTCCCATTTTGGAATTAGCATGGGGCAAGTGAAAGAGATCAGGAGCGGCCTCTGCCCGACCTCAGATTTGCTGTGTGACTCAGAGAGGTTGGTTCACTTATCTGAGCCTCAGCTTTCTTGTCTATAAAATGGGCCAGTAATCCCTGTGCTCATGCGGCCTTCCAGAGTTGTGCTGAGGGCCCCATGAGGGGCTCAGAGTCTGGGGAAGGACACAGACAGGTAGACAGATGGCCCTGGGTCAGCATGACTCGTGCCATGAGGGAAAGCATCTGACCCAGCCTCATCAGGGCTGGAGGGCCAAGAAAGCTCCCAGAGGAGACGGCGTCTGAGCTAAGGGTTTGCAGGGTTTTTTCTTCTTCTCTTCTCTTTAAAAAAGAAGTGTGTTTCTTCTTTACAAAGATAGTCAATATTCAAACAGCGTAAAAGAATCAGGCAGGAAGTTCCGATCACCCCTCCTGCAATCCCACCACCATCAGTACTGTTAAAGCATGCTTCCAGAACTCTGTCCTTACCCATGTACATAGTGAACTGGGATTTTGCAGAAGAACCAGGAGAAGAAAGGGGAAGGGAGGGCCCAGCTTTCCTGGCTCAAGGGGACCGGTGATGTGGAAGGGGACGGGAGTTTGGCTTACCAGGACCCTTGAGGGGTCCAGTGCAGTTGGATCGTGGGTGCGGGCGCCAGACCTCGAAGGTCCTAGGTACCACACTAAAGGTGTTTGGATTTATCCTGCCAACAGTGGGGAGCCCTTTGAAGGGTTTTGAGCACGGGACTGTCAACATCCTCCAGGGTTTAAAAAAAGCGAGTTTAGGGGGTGCCCTCCTGGCTCAGTCGGTAGAGCATGCAACTCTTGATCTCGGGGTTGTGAGTTCAAGTCCCACATTGGGTGTAGAGATTACTTAAACATAAAATATTTTTTTTAAAAAGTAAGCAAGTAAGAAAATGAAAAGCCCAGTTTGGCAGCAGTGGGGCATGGGGGCTGGTGTAGTAATTAGCCCAGGGAAGTGAGGAGGCCTGGGCTGAGTTGGCCAGAGTGGAGGCTGAGGACCAAAATGGTTGGGAAGGAAGGGCAGGCCTTGAGTGTGAGTGGTAAAGTCAGGGAGGAGTTCCCCTTTCCTAGTGGCAGCCCTCTGGCTGGGCCCTCTGAGAGAAAGGGGATCCTCGGACAGGCCAGGACATGTCTCCAGGGGCCAGAGAAGCCCCAGAGCACCCTCTCGGCCCTTGGGAAGGAGCCATTCTAGGAACGCCCTGGAGGGGTGGCCAGAGGAGGCACCTGAGTTCAAAGGAGTCACGCAGCCTGGGCTTGGAATGCAGATCTGCCAGCCCTGCCAGCACCCTTTCCCACCCCATCACTGGCTGCAGGAGTGAAGGGGCAACCTCCCCTGTCTTCCACTCTCTTCCAGAGTGCCCTACAGATCTCTCGGGCCCCTTCCCCCCTGGCAGTCAGCCTCGCGCCAAAGACGACAGAGAGGGGTCTCCTGATTGCAGGGTGGAGAACGGAGTCCTGGAGCCCTGGGGTGTGGATTTCTCCCCTGACAGCAGGATGAGAAGTGGCATCTCACCCCGGGGCCCATCTCTGTCCCCTCCAGCTTGGACTGAGTCCTGTGGAGAAAGCACCTGCAAGGCCTTACTGAGCGTCTGACAGGCCCAAGGAACAGTGGCTCACAGGGAGGGTCCTGGGCCTGGCTGCTCCCCAGGGCTTCCATGACCGTGGGCAGAGGGCAGATGACAGAGATGACTCTCCATCCAGATCAGCCCCACCCTTCCTGCCTGTGCGCCCCCCGCCCCCCGTGTTTTCCTGGTGATAAATGGCGGCTTCCCGTTCCCAGAAAGCTGGAAGTTTACTGGGGAAACCAGCATGGTGAACCGAGCAGCCGGTCGGCAGTGTCCTCAGCCCTCGTCGCACAGTGTGGCCTGCCGGGCTGCTTGGTGCGGCTGGTCCTCTCCACCCCGGGTTGGGTTCCCCCAGACCATGATGGAGGCGCATTCCAGATGCCCCGGGGCCTCCTTAGGCATTTTCCCCAACCCCAGTACCCACATAGGCATACACAGCAAGGCCAGGCAGGTGTTGTCACAGGGTGTTTACTCTCCTTCCCTCAGGATGGAACCCCTCGGATCGCTGCCCTTGCTGAGCTGTAAAGTAGAGCCGCCCTCGGGCCCCGTCTCCCCCGTGCCCCCCACCCTCTGAAACGGGATCTGGCGTACTTGGGCCACATCTCCATGCCTCTCACGTAGCACCGACACTGGATGCTTGACTGTCCCTCAGCTAGCCCAGGGGTGACAGTAGGGCAGAGGCCACTTCCCATGCATTTCTGTCCCCAAGCGCTGTCCCTGGTATGAAATGGTGGCAGGAATGACAACAGCTAACACCTCCAGGTGTTACTGGGTGGGTAAGTGTAAGGGCTCCGGAGCCACACCCCTGCGTTCAAACTCCAGCTCTGCCACTCACTAGCTGTGTGACCCCAGGCAAGTTATTTAACCTCTCTGGGCCTCTATTCCCTCTTCTTCTCAAAGTGGGGCTCGTAAGAGTACTGAGCTCACGGGACCGTGGAATGAGTTAATGGATAAAGCTCTGAGCCCAGTTCTCCGTACAAATGTTAGCTTTGGTCATCCCCCTCCTCGCTGTTATTTTTTTTATAGACATTTTATTTTTTATACCTTTAAATTTGTTTGCAATTTTTTCAGCTTTATTGACGTATAATTGACAAAATTGTGAGGTGTTTAAAGTGGACATCATGATGATTTGATGCATGTATATACACTGTGAAAGGGTCCCTCCCATCTGGCTCATTCACACATCCATCCCTCACTACTTACATACAGCTTTTTGGTGAAAGCATTTAAGATCTACTCCCTCAGCAAATTTCAGGTATACAATACAGTGTTGTCAACTGTAGCTGATAATCACTCATTGTTTACTGTGTGCTGAGCACTATGCCAAATGCTTTGAATAAATTATTTAATCCTCAAAACAGCTCCATTTCTCAGGTGAGGAAGCTTGAGGTGCAAAGAGGGTGAGTAATTTGCCCCAGGTCACCTGGAAGACCAGGTCCCCAACCCAGGCGGCTGACCGTGCTCTTTAGGGACCGCCCCGGCCAGGCGTTCATACCCGGTTAGCATCTGAAGGAATGAAAACAAACACAGGTTTGCCCGGATCATGGAAAGCCTTATAAGGAGCCTCTTATGTTTTGTTTGAAGGCTCAACCACAGGAATTACCTCTTGGAGTCTCCCCACAAGTACAGTGTTGCCGACCTCCAGCAGGTGAGAGTGCCCTCCCCGACCTCCAGACCTCTCTCAGAGGGGCCTCATTCCTGGAGAAATCAGAGAGGGGGATGCGGGAGGGGGGGCTGCAGCTTTTCAGGCCCTCAGCGTGTCTCGCTGTCCCGTGCTTGCTGGGCAGTGACCGAGCACCAGCCCCTGCGGTGAGCAGGCAGGCGAGCCAAGTCCGGGGCACAGGAGCTCCTCAGCCCCTTCCCTGCGGCTGGACTCATCCCCAGCAAGAGGGCGGGGGTGGGGGGAGGCCCTGGGGGTGAGAGCTGGGGACATTCCTTTCCTGGCGGGAGGGCACTGTGGATTTGGGTCTCGTCTGGCAAGCCAGTTATCCCCAGTGACCTCTGCATGCGGGAGCTGGACACCTGCATCCTTCGGTCTGGTCCGGGGAGCTTTTCTTGCCCAAGCGGGGAGAACCTTCTTCGGGGGTAGGACCTTGTTCAGGCAGAGTGCCAGGAACAGCAGCAGGCCGCACTGTCCCGACGGCCTCGGCCTCAGCGCAGCTGCCTGAAAGGCCTGGCGGCCCCCGCCCCTGCCCTCCACAGATCGCAGACGGGGTGTACGCTGGGTTCCTCAATGCCCTCATCGGATTCGCCTCCCAGCACGTCTACCACTGCGACCTGTGCACCCAGCGCGGCTTCATCTGCCAGATCTGCCACCACCACGACATCATCTTCCCCTTCGAGTTTGACACCACAGTCAGGTATGCGGGATGCCCTCCCCACGGCTGGCCCCGGCGTTCTGGGGGGGCAGGCGCACAGAGGACGCCATGTGCGTGCTGGTGCCGCGGGCTGGCGAGGTCGTCTACAGCAGCCGATGCCCTGGGCAGTCACGGCGGCTCTGGGCCTGCTCAGGGGACAAGAGAGCCCTCCGAGGACCCTTCCCCAGACCAAGGGAGCTGTCTGTCTCCCTAGAGAAGAGGTAGCTTGCCACGTCTTTGAGCGGGGGCCTCGGTTCTGTCATCTACAGACGGGTTGAGGAGGGACCGAAGGAGCGGCCGCCCTGGAGTGTTGGCACAGGCCAGGCACGAAGTGGGCCCCCAGGGGCTGGCACTTGCCTGGCTCGCCCCAGCAGTGATGATGCTTCTTAGCTGGTTAGCACGCCTTATCAGAAGCCTCTCAGTGGAAAAATTCATCCCCAAACCTCCATTCCAGCCCAGGCAGGAGCATTCATTCGTTTTCAGGAGGTGTCTCATGGCCTAGATTTAGCCCCTGGGCTCCGTTTTTTAAACGGCAGAGTGTTTTCAACATAGGCAAGGAATCATCCCATGAGTCTCCAGCAGCATGTGGGAAAAGTGGATTAGAAGCGAGCATCAGCGCCTGTGGCATCTGGCGGTGGGGAGGCAGGGCGCGCTGGGGTGGGGGCGGGCGGGGGCGGACCTCGGGCCCCCCCACCCCCCAGGGCTCTGGTCAGACGCTGGCTGCCCTCCTCCAGATGTGGCGAGTGCAAGACAGTCTTCCACCAGAGCTGCCAGGCCGTGGTGAAGAAGGGCTGCCCCCGCTGCGCCCGCCGGCGCAGGCACCAGGAGCAGAGCACGCTCAGCTAAGCCAGCGCGCCGTCCCCACCCAAGCTGTCGGGCGGCGGCAGCCCGCTCAGCTCGGCCGTCCCAGCTGGGTTCGGCTTCAGCCTGGATCCTCTCGAGGTGTCAGGAAGACTCAGATGGGACCAGCGCGTGAGCCCACCAGATGAGGCCCTCAATGATGTCCCCCAGTCCCTCTCCCCCACCACCCCGTCTGCTCCAAGAGGTGGGGACACCATCCGATGCCGCCTCGGCCCAGGGGAAGCAGGCAGGGCAGCTTTGCACTAATCAGGCCCAGCTCGCCTCACAGACGCGGCCGCTCCATCAGGGCTGTTAGAACACTGTGGACACAAAACTTGAGCGCATTCTCAATTCCACATTCCTGATTAAAAGGTCTAGTTTTTTAAGGCAGGTTTTTTTTCCCTTCGTATTTCAACAGAAAATATTTTTTTATTCTTGACCCTACACAATTCACCCAAGAAATCCAGGCACTCTCACGCGGAGCGAACGTGTGGGAACATTTGGCCTGCAGGCCAGCGGGTGGCGGGTGGGCAGGCCACCGCTGGGCCAGAGCCTGTCGGCTGGACCGGGTGCCTTTCCGTCACCTGCGCCGGGCCCTTGCTGCCCACAGCTCAAGTACGATGTGTCAAACTGCCCCAGGGGCTGGTGGGACCGGTCCTGATGACCTCCCTCTTCCTCTCCCTCTCCTCTCTCTGCCCTGCCCTGTCCTCCTCACCTCTCTCCGGGTCAGAGCCCCCTGGCTCCCCTACAGCCTGGGATCTCGGTCCCCGCGGGAGAAGGGAGTAACTCGGAACCAGCACTGTCAGCACTTTGCGCCTTCCTTGGTCCAGGCCAGGGCTGTCCTCTTCCCTACCCCTCAGCCCCTTGCCCTCCACACCTACGGCAGCCATGCAGCCGGATGGGCCAGGGGCTGCTGGAGACACGCTCTCAGGGGGACACCCCCCCTTCCCCACTGCCTGCCTGAGCCCAGAGAAGGCAGTGAGCCGGGGCCAGGGGCCAGCCTTGGGCATCGTGACTGCCAGGCCCCACACCGTGGAGTGGCGACCCCCGGCCTTCCACAAAGAGGGCCAGGCCTGCTGTGGAGATGTACGGGGACACGCGGGAGCAGCCACCTTGTGGAAGGATGCTTAGCCTCAGTTTACAAAGCCATGAATTCCCAAAGCTTTGCTGGACTGGCCCAGGAGGGGCGCTGCTGGAGACTAGAAAATGTCACTGGAGCGTGATTGCCTTTTCAAGGGGTCTTGGGGTAGAGTGGGAGCCTGGAATTGTTTTCAAAGTGACATTTAGACCCTGTGGTTCGGGGGTGATTTCTCTGCTGCCTTCTCCCATCTCTCCTGGACCCACAGCCCCCCACCCTGGGTCCTCTGGCCATCCTGTCTGCTCTCAGCTTGGATTGGGGGCCTCAGGTGGAGATTGCCTGTCACTGTCAAGAGATGAATCTACTCCCACCTCTCCCTTGGGGTGATTCGGCTGCTGAGTCACCTGCCCAGCCCTGTGGAGCTGGATAAATTGTGCAATAGAACAGAGGAGGTGGTGGGCAGGGGTGGGGGAGGGGAGGGCTGCCACACAGCTTCTCTGTCCCCGTCACGGAAGATGGTGCATACCTATGCCCAGCACACCAAAGCCTCCTAAACGGGAAAGTGGATCCTTATCCCCGTCCCGCACCCCCACAGCCAGCGTTAATGCTCCCCCACAAACCCAGCCCGAGCACAGCCGCGGGGGCCCCAATCCCCACGCGGGCAGGGGCTGGCCTGGGATGGGCAGTGCTGCCCCTGCGGCCAGCCCCGGAGGCCTGGCATAGGCTGGGTAGGGCCTGTCCTGCCCACGGCCACCTCCCAGGCATTAGTCGTAGCATTAGAACCGACCCTCTGCCCAGTACCAGAAAGCTGCTAATGCTTCCGGATGAGTTGACTTTTACCCTCTCACCTTCAATGGAAAGCTGATGTGAAACTCAGTGGTGCCCACACTATTTTTAAAATGCCATTTTATGCAATAAACTGTTTCTAGTGAGGGGCGCTGACCCTGAGTAGCGCTTTGCGATGTGTGGAAGGAACTGCTGCTGTGTGATTTTTGAATGATTTTGCAGTAAAGACCTGATTTTTCTCACCTCTGGTCTCGCTTCTGAATCCTGATGCTGCCGCTGGTTGGGGGAGGCCACCAGCCATCCTGTCCTGTGGGGGGGGGGGGGGGGGGGTTTTCGCCAGGCCTGGGCATGCAGGGGAGGAGACATGACAGTGTTCGGTCTGTCCTCACCCCACTAGGAGCCAGACGAAGGGGGTTTGGAGGGATAGCATTTCAGGGCCTTGGTGGAGGTTTCCTCACATACACTCATATGTAACAAGTGAAGCTGATGCCTGACATCCCACCACAGTGGCTTCTTCCCTGTGCCTGTCGAAGCACAGACCCCTAACACCGGCTAACACCGGAACATGAGAGATGTCGGGACTGTTTTTCCGCTGGGTTTTCCAAAGCAAGAGAGGGGGCTCGGGGCCGTAATCAGGGCTCATGGTTTCAGGGCTCCACGTGGCATTTACTTGGCTGCTACCTTCCCCTGAAGTTCCAGGAGGAGCCCACCAATGCCCGTGGTAAGGACAGAAGGAAACAGACTAGTTCCAGGGAAAGTGGGCCGCAGGAAAATGGGATTGAAACATTCAGCTTTGCAGTTCCTTGTCCTTGAAGACACCATTCAGCCCATGGGGGAGCGTCGCCTGAGCCCCAGCGTCCCTCAAGGGCCTCAAGTCCCTCCAGGGTCAGTAGGGGGTGGGCTCTGAGAAGACCAAAGGAACTGGGTTTGAGGGCTGGGGACAGGGAGTTCAGGGCCACGAGACCTGGGTGCCTCCCTGCCTTTCTTCTCAGTGCCTCCATCCTCAGCAAGATGCCTCTGACTACATTCCTTTCTCTCTTTCCCCCTCCTGCCTAAAAGAGAATGGGGGGCTTGGAGACCTCAACCCAAGACCAAAGAGGAGGACAGCTCATCTTACAATAAAAATTTAATAACGAATGTGTGTTCTTACAATAATGTGATAATACTAACCGTGCTTAGTGCAGCTCATTCTCATTCATTCTTGCCAACTATCCTGTGAAGTAGGCGTCACTGTCCCCAGTTTACAGCAGAGAAAACTGAAGTGCTAAGAATCCAGTTCCAGCAGGCTGCTCTGGGCTTACCCTATGGACAGCCTGGAGGGTGGCCCTCTTCCAGAGGAGGATCTGGGGGACAGAGGGATGGAATCAAACAGTGGGAGGGAAATCTGGCCAGAAGTAGTGGAGGAGACCCCCCCCCCCTTCCCGCCATGCCATCATCCAGGCCCTGCTGCTTCCACCTCCCAGAAGACAGCCAGGTGTGGCCCAGGATCCCAGGAGGTGCAGGGGGAGGGCGGCGTCTGTGCTCCCAGGGCGCTGGCCCGGCCCAGAGGGGACAGGAAGCCAGGACACCGGGGATTGTCTCTAGCAGCCGCAGCCCTGCCTCAGCCCAGGAGGAAGTTCTGCCGGGCGCTCTCCGCTGGTGCCTCCCTCGCTGTATTGTTGAACAGGAAACCGGGCTGCGCGGGAGCTGGGCGGTGGAGGAGGGAGCACCGGACGCCGAAACCACGCGCGCCTGCCGGGACAAGCGGAGGCGAAGCCAGTGAGCGGACACCCCGAGGTGCCGAGGCTGGGCCGGGCGGGGGGTGCTGAGCCGAGGGCGGGACGGGGGGTACCGTGCCGCAGGTGGCGGGTCCTCTCACCCGGGAGCGCCGCGCGCCTGCTCCCCTTCACCCGGTGCTGGGGCGGGAGCTGCGCGGACCCGGGAGCAGGGCCGCGCGGGTCGGATCCCCCGCGAGCAGCGGAGATGCGAAGGGCTGCCCTCCCTCCGGGGACAGGAGGGGCCCATGTCCAGGCCCCCGGCTCCGACCCAGGCGTTCACGCCGCTGTGGCTCGCGTCGCCCGGGGCAGTGGACCCAAAGCACCTCCTGGCGACGAGTCAGCCCCCGAGTTCCTGGGATCCTCCCCGCTCCCCTTATCCCTCCGCTCCTCGTCGCTCCCCCCGAGATGGGGAAGGAGCCGAGTCTCGGGTCCCCTCCCCACCCAGCCCGAGACCCTGCGCTCGAGTGGGCATCCCTGCTGTGGGAACTCCGCTCCGAGTTTTTCCAGGCCCCGCCAAGCTGCGCCCGGAAAGGGCCTGGGGCCGGCGGAGGTGGGTCCGAAGCGAGTAGTGCCTGCACTCGGGCTGGAAAGGGCCGGTAGTCGGTGATTCGGGGTGCAAATGGCTTCGCTTGGTATGGGAACGCCCGGACGACACAACGAAACGGGGTCGAGCAGTCCCAGGGCAGCGCGCCCGCGGGACGCAGAGGCTCGAGGACAACAAATCCCGCGGCGGGGGAGACGGGGGCGGTGGTGAGGGACCGCAGGGGTGGGACCCTACCCACCTTGGGCTCTGCTCGCCGCCCGGCAGCACCCCTTCGGTCGCAGCCCTTCCAGCTCCCGCCCCCTCTTGCCCTGGGCCCCACTGCCACCCAACGTCCCCACCGGCCCAGACACACTCGTTCAAGCTCCTCCTCGCCCCTCCCGGATACAGCCGCGATGGGGAGTGGGGGCAGCCCTCCTGAGCATCCCTCTCCCTCTTTGCTCCCCTTGCCAGCTCCTGCGCCCCGAGGTCTCCCGGGCCTAGCCCTTGCAAGCCCTGCCCAAGGAGATGGCCGGGGCCTAACCTGCATCCATCCGCTGGCTCCGCCCGTCCAGCCCATGGGCCCGCAGAGACCTGCCCTGCCAACGTGAGTGAGCGGCGGGGGTGCGGGCGAAGGTGACGGATGAGAAGGGGGTTCGTCGGCTTAGCTCCGGGCAGCTCACTGACTACACCTCCAGGGCCCAGTGTGCACCCCTTTCCCCGTCGAGGAAAGCTTAAGAAAGTAGTGAAGGAGCGCTGTGAGCCCCCGGCCAGACCCTCTTCCTTGGGTTCCTCAGCCTCAGCAAGCAACCGAACCCCCAGCTGCTGCTCCCGGGACACCTTTACTGGGCAGGAGATGGGGTCGGTGCAAAGGCTTGGAGGGACCAGCCCCTTAGGGAAGGAGCCTCCGATTCATCTCTTTGGTGGGGAGACACAGACGGACTTAGAGTTAGCCTCCGACCCCCAACCCCGCCACACCAAGAGCCAGGCTAAGCTGGCATGCCGAGGGGTGGGTCGGGACGATTACTCCCGGAGAGCGTGGGGGAGGACACCGCATGGGTAGTCACTCACAAAGTGCATTCTCTAGGGGCCGCTCCCGGGGCGGGGGGGTTGGCGACGCGGAGATCACAGGGCAGGTGGGCAGGCCGCGAGGGCAGAGCCTCACTCGGGAGGTGGAGGTGGGAGCGGGAGAACCGGGGGCGGCGCGGGCCGGTCTGGGCGGGCCAGGCTCCGGGTTCACGTGCGAGGCAAAGCCGCCGGGGAAGGAAAGAGAAACCGAGAGAACCGGTTCCCCGGCCTTGGCAGTCCCCGTCCCTTATGCCAAGGCCCTTGGACTAGGGAAGCAGGGACACTCCCGGGGTAGAGCGGCGCCGGGGAGGCACCTAGAGCCCCGCGCCTCAACTCTGCCCCGGCGGGCCCGGGGCGCAGAAGCCTGGAGAAGGGAAGAGGCCCTGGGGGCCCGGATTTCCTGAGGGCTGGTGGCGTCGGGGCGGGGCGGGGCAGGGGGCGGAGGGAATGGGCTGTTTTTCCCACGTCACAGACCGGGAAACTGAGGCCCAGTCAACTTTTTAGGCAAATGTGGTGTCGACTTAATCTCTCGCATCTCTTTGAGGCAAGGCTTCCTTGGCTGTAAAGTTGGACTAGTATTACCCACAGTCCCCACCAAGGGATTGAATCGAGGCTCAAATCATAACCAATGCCGCAGAATTAAAGTGTTGTCATAATTCCATTAGCGAGGGTAAGATTGGGAACCTTAGAGATTATTTTATCCAAGTCCCCCGTTTTTGAGATAGGAAAACTGAGGCCCTAACGCACACGAGGAATGCAGCCCCGGGACTCGAACTCAATCAAGTCTTTTGTCCCCCTCGTGCGGCGCCCCTCCCGGCTCGGTGGCCCTGACCTCCGCGCCCCTCCTCCTTGTCGCCCACAGGGCAACGCCACGGCCGCGATGGCGGCGGACATCGAGGGGGACGTGTACGTGCTGGTGGAGCATCCCTTCGAGTACACGGGCAAGGACGGGCGCCGCGTCGCCATCCAGCCCAACGAGCGCTACCGGCTGCTGCGCCGCAGCACGGAGCACTGGTGGCACGTCCGGCGCGAGCCCGGCGGCCGCCCCTTCTACCTGCCCGCGCAGTACGTGCGCGAGCTGCCGGCG